GTCCAAGGAGTAAAGTCGAACATCAATGAAGGAGTCGAGGTGGGAATCAACAAGCAACTATGCTGGTCAAACAACAACGAACAACAACTATGCGGTCGAGTTGGGGTTGACCCGAACTCAAAGCGGTTGGGGTTCGGGTCCGAAAAATCAACCCGTTTGCAAAAACGGGTTGGGTTTCGGTCGTGTCGAACAATACCGAGTCAATTCCTGGTTGGACCTGAACCCGACCTATGACTCGATTTTGATAACCCTACTTGCACGTAATATTGATATATCATGTAATTGCTTAATGTTAAAATTTTATAATATCATTTCTTATTTTTAAAAATATTTATATTAACTAAATCAGTGGTTAGAATATAAATTTACTTATTATAAGTTGTCATGCAAACGCAATATGTTTTTTTTTTAAGAAGTAAATAGTCAATACCCAAAGGGTGTTGTGGGCTTAATTTTTCCACTTTTTAAGTCCGTATGTAGAATTAAATTTTATTTGGGGCAATTTTTTTAGTGCTTCTTAAAACAACTTTTTAGTAAAAAAAATTAATTTTTTTACTAAAAAGTTACTATAAAAAGTAATAAAAAAGCCATCCCAAGCAAAACCTTAGGCTTGGTTTGGGACGACTTTTTATTGCTTCTTAAAGCAACTTTTTAGTAAAAAATTTTAATTTTAAATTAAAAAGCTTCTTTAATGCTTCATTTGGCACGAGTTCTTTATTTATTTTAAATATAATTTTTTAATATAAAAATTTTAATTTTTATATTAAAAAATTACTTTAAGATCATTTTAAACGAAATCTTAATTTAATTGAAAACATATCTCATTTTCACATATACCATGATTCTTAATTTTAAACTTTGGTAATGTTATGCGCTGACCAGTGATTGAGTGGTCGAAATAGTGCCGCGTCTTGGCCCTGAGCCCCTGACTGTCTTTTCGCTCGCGTACATAGATATGCACGTAATAAAAAAATATGAGCATATCTATTCACAAAGAGGATACTGTAAGCGTGGGACAAATCTTATGCGTGTGTGTGAGATTTTAATTTGAATATCCAATATCACAATTCATTAAATGGTGCCAAATGAGTTAAAGTCGCGAGTCAAATTTTTGGCTCAGTTTAATTTTAAGCTGGGTTGAAACGGATCGGCCTGATTCAAAATCGGATTGAAATTTAAATAAAGGAAGAAAATCATGGGGCTAGGCCAGTTGCAAAATCCACTATGATATAAAGATCTTTCCTCATTCACTGTTGAAGGAAAGGAAGAGTATAAAGATCGAAAATTTACAACAAACAATATGGCTTAATCTTCTTACTGCAGGGGCGGATGTAGCATGGGGGGGCACTGGTGGCACGTGCCCCCACTGACTTTATTAATAATCTCTAATAAAGTATATTTATGACTCATTAATTACATAATTTTATTATATTTCTTTTTTTGTCCCAAGCCGTAATCTCGCGTTCTGCTTTACACCTGCACGGACGACTAGTGCTGCAAATGAACCTCGCTCAAAAAATTTATGATCGAGATCTGTTCGTGAACAAATTTGAGCTCCAAAACGAGCGGACCGTGAGACAATTAGATCATATTACTAGCTGGTTAGTCACAACCTCTAGCCTCCCTACGAAGACCAAATATTACACTTGTTTATTTTGTCAAAATGTCTTATTATATAAAGCAAAATATTTATTTCTTTCACGGTGTGGGACTAAAAAGGTTTCTTTTTCTTATGAGTGGAAGACTTAGGCGGGAAATAGCGGGAGGACAAGGTTTTTTTTTTTGCAGGCTTAGCCACTTTTTTTTTCTTCTAAGTTAATAATTCTAATTAATTAGTTATATTACTAAAAATAAAAGTTAGAGATATGTCTAATGTATACTGTTAAAATTAAAAATATTAAATTAGTAAAAAAATTACTAAATTAGTAGATTTAATTGTATTTATTTTTAAAACTCTAATTGAGCTCTAATCGAGCTTCTTAGTCGAGCTCTAATCGAGCTTTTTAGCGAGCATGTTCATGACGGCTTCTTATTAGATTAGCGTTAAATTTTTTTTCTCACTTATATCTTTTTGGCTTAGTTGGACATATGATTTTATGGCCTTGAGTCTTCAAAGAATAGATTTTGAATTCTTTACTTGATAAATCCTGTTAATATTATTTTAATTGAAATTAGATCTGGAAAGGTATTTCGAAAGAAAATTTTAAGATTGAGGTTTTTTTTTTTACTTCAACGATTTGTGCCCCCACATGAAAAAAATCCTGGCTCCGCCCCTGCTTCTTAGGATGAATTTTAGAAAATGAGTGTCCACATGCGACAAATGTACTCAACAGCAAGGTCAAATTTTGATAATATTCTGAAGATCGCGGTGGTTGTTGGTGGTAGTATTTGGCAGTTGTTGATGGCAATAGCTGATAGTCTTCGAAAGTGACGATGGCTGGAAAATGCTAGAGAGCTTTTCCTTCTTCTCTCCATGTTTTTCTTTCCCTTATGTGAAGAATGGGGGTCTATTTATAATTTTTTTAGAGTGAGATGTTCAATAAATGTGAAGAAAATCAATGGTAAATTTGCAGTGTTCTATCGGACGGTTCATAATGATTCCTTTGATCATAGAACTTTTATTAAATATTTAAATGCCTTAATGATGTCAGAATTGAATGATCTTGGGCTCGTTGGATTCATCTCATCGATCCTCTCAATTCGACTATAAGCATGGCATATTTGGATAACAAATTTTTATCCAATTAATGCTTTTAAGCTTTCAAATAAGCTTCATACCTTTGATTCAATCCCATTTGAACTCAGATTGGATTGATTTTGATGTTATCGGGTTCATCTTGTCGAAACGTTCAGTTTTACTATAAATTATTGAGATCGGTGTTCGAATGATCGCAAATTGAATTTTGATGATTTTCAATTCAAATATGTCTCGAAATTCATGCTAGATCAATGTGATTTTTGGTGATGTATCAATAGCATATTCAATATTTAAAAAAATAAAGAGAAAAATACAATATGGAACTAGTTATCCCATATATAACATGTATCTTCTTTTATATATTATGCTACATACTATTTTATGTTTAATGTGATATACACTAAAAGAAAATTAGTGATTTATGGGAGATTTGTGGCAAGCTTTGTGATAAAATAATTTTTCGATAGATGTGTGGAGGGCTTTCAATCGATATTTTCATCATAAATTTTTGTGACAGAATTATAGTAGAAAATCATTCACATATTGATGACGGATTTTGTGCCACAAATTCATCATAATTCCGCCACAAATCCGCTGCAAAACTGTCACAAAAAAATTTATCCAAACAGATTTGCTTCATATTTGAAAAGATTTGCGGGAGATTTTTTCCTCCGCAAGTAGCTGATTTCATGTAGTAATATAGAATACGGATTGGCCTTGTAATTTTATATCGCCATAGGAGTAATTAAATCCCTGCGCATAATATCGGCGCATGATATAGTGATGTGATCTACCATGTTAAAATGTTAATTGACATAATAATTATGAATTTGATTATTTATATCTTTATATGTTCTTGTGTAAATGATATAAAATAGTAATTTTTATTATTTTTATTGTGTTTTCCAAATTATTTGACATAATTTATTCATCATTATGATATGAATCGGATTATGCAATAATGTTATTTAATTTGTTATCATTCGAGTAAAGCCTATCATGATATAACTCTTGGCCTTTTTAATAGGCTTCATATTTCATGCTTTAGTAAACATAATCTCATTTATTATTTCACAATACGTTGAACATATATTTTTATTTTAAATTAATGATACTAACATTTAGAATATATTATTAAATATATATTTTTAAGAATAAACATTTTTTTATTTAATATATGTATATATTTTTAATTACAAAATAACAATTAAAAAATTCTCCTAAAAGATTTTTTTAATAACTAAAACATTTTTTGCTTAATGTTTAGTTAAAACATAGTTCCTTAATTTAATATTTAATGATATTTGATAATAAATATTTAATTATTTACATATTGTATAATTTAATAAAATTCTTAAACATATATTCTGAATTAAATAATAAATTTTGTTATATTTAATATATCCTAAAACAGTTATCTAAAATAAAATATAAATTTTAGGCTTTTATATCAAAATATTGCTTTAAAAATTAATAAAAAGCAGTCTAAATGAAGCCTTAATTGACCTAAATAATAATAATAATAATAATAATAATAATAATAATAATAATAATAATAATAATAATAATAATAATAATAATAATAATAATAATAATAATAATAATAATAATAAAATAGAGCTCTCATTCTGATTAAGTAGTACTTATTGAAGGGGCAACGTCAATGATACGTGAGTGATCTCATTCTATGCTTTTTATTTTTGCAGGACAGAGATACATCAACCTACAATGCGACTACAAAAGAAAATATCTCAGCAACAATTTTTCTAGTTGCTTTCTATGACAAATAAGGCTTCGTTTGGAACGGTTTTTTTACTGTTTTTTAAAATTGAGTTTTAGTACAAAATTTTTTAATTTTGTATTAAAACTCCGTTTTAGAAAGCAGTAAAAAAACCGTCTCAAACGAAGCCTAAATTAATAAAAAAAATCGGACGGGGTCACCATAAACCAATGGCTCCGATACTAATATAAAAAATACAAAATCCCATAAAAAATAAAATTAAAATCTTCAATATCAAATAATTTTTGGCTTAAAGATTGAAATTTTATTAAAAACTTTAAAATTAATTGCACCAATGAAATAAATATGACTGAAATAATTTTATTTTCATACAATAAATAAATAAAAAAATAAATTTAATAATTTTTTTTTATTACGAACAACCACTGAACCATATGTAAATTAGTAAATTACAACGGTTCTATATTCCTAAGCGCTACATGATTAGCAGTGCCTTATTATTCATAACGTATATGGCGTTGACCACTTGACCCTTCAAAACTCAAAAGCTAGCTTTGAAATTACACATAGCTTAGTATTTTCTCTACATATTTCATATTAATATTATATCATTAGAGAATAATATCCGTTGAAATTTTTGAAGAAATTAAAAAAAAGATCTTTGGGACGCATTTCTGGGACAAAATCTTTGTAGAATTTGATATTTCTAAATGAAAAAAATAGGTAACTTTAGTAGCTAAATTACAACGGAGGGTTTATGCATTTTTGTAGTGCTGCAAAAGTTTGTAATCTTCTGTTTACGGCAATTACAGACACACAGAAGCGCGATAGAAGGATGAGGGAGAAGTAGGAGAGAGAAAGTTTGAGTTTGTGTGCAACAGTGGAAAATGGTCAGAGCACAGAGAAAAAGAGGTGGCTGTGAGTGTTATTTTTTTCTTCGATCTCTACTTGTTGCCCTAAATCGCCGAAGTTCTGCGGTGCAAGGTGAGCCAGTGACTTGGATTTGAACGAAAGCTCTGCTTTCTTTCCTTCTTCTTGATAGATTGGTTTCTGAAAGTTGGATTGTTAAATATGATGCTAGATGTTTCTTTTTCTTTCTTAAATTTGGATGAGGATTTCATAAATCAAGTAAGATTTCATTTATTCATTGGAATCGATGGGAGTTAGTGGGGCTTCTTGATTTTCTGTGGTTGAATTGCAATCACAGGTTGAGCGGAAGGGGTTTTTTTTGGTTCGATTGATGGTCTTTCTCAACTGATTGCTCTTCTTCATGCTCTAGGTTTATCTATCTCCATATTTTCCTAAAATCATATTCTGTGCTGGTTAGATTGCCAAGTTTGTCATGTTTGATCCGAAACTGCAGTTTCTGGTACAGTTCCCACTCGTTTGTATCAGTTTTTGTTAGGTGATGCGTGGGCTACTAAGCACCTTAGAGTTTTTTCGATTTTGTTCCTGTATTGGTTTCCTTTGTTTCTCATTCAGGTTCCCAAAATCCTTTCCATGCTTAGTTCATGTAGCTCCTGAAACGAAGGAATGAAAGAATTTTCTTTTGCTATTGTAATTACATTATAATACAGCCATGTATGCTCAGTTCTAATTAAAATTCTCCAACTTTTTCTTTTGCAAACCAGAATCTACATTCATCTTACTTAAAATGCACATTCTAGCAGCTCAATGATTGCACAACAAGCACAAGGTTTTAGAGTTATTTGTTAGGTCTGTAGCAGTTGAATGTTATTATTTCTGTAGAATTTGTGAATCAAAGCGATTGAATTATAAATGCATTATACACAGTACTTCAAATCTGTTCAGATAAGCATATATAAATACCATCTCTCAAATTTACAACTCAGATACTTTTGTTTCTTTATGAAGAAGATATCTTAAAACTCTTCATTATTGTTTTGATTACTGTATAAGAAACAATGTCTATTACCAAAGCACAAAAAGGATCTAGATTTTGTTGCTTCAGTTTTATTAACTTTCTACTGAATCTTATGATTAGATATCAAGTTTAGATGAGGATAACTGTTTCTTTCTCTAAAGGAGCCTTCAATTTGTTCTTTAGTCTATCTTGTATCTGCCATAATCATGGCATTATATGTTTGAACTGTGCCTTATACCCATCTGATTGTTATGCAGGTATTTTGCTTGGCATCTGAAAAATTGTTTTTCATTTCCCAATCTTTCGCATGATTGTTTCTTTTTTCTGGGTGGGCCCCTTGTGCCATGGGCGTCGTCAAGATTAGGCGCCAGGGGCCTGGGAAAGATAATCATGTTCAACATTTTCCTTTGAACTATATGCTAGATGAGATTGAGCAAGATGATAGATTTCCATCTGGGAAAGATCATAGTGACGATCCTGATGATTCTGAACTGTCTGATGCTGGCTATGAGTATGCCTTGGTCAATGATCAGACCTCCAATATTCCTTATGAACTTTATGAACTTCCAAATTTGAAGGAGATTCTCTGTCTGGAAACTTGGAATTTGTATTTAACTGAAGAAGAAAGGTTCCATCTAGCTGCTTATCTTCCAGATATGGACCAGGAAACATTTGAGCTTACAATGATAGAATTGCTTAGTGGTGCAAATATTTTTTTTGGAAGCCCCTTGGAAATGCTCTTTCATAGACTTAAAGGTGGATTTTATTCGTTGCAAGTGACTCAACTTAGAGAAGGATTGAGATTCTTACAGGAAAGAGGATATCACCATTCTTTGAGATCTTATCATGAGAGTATATCTCAGAAGTTTGTGGAGATGAGAAAGGCCTGGAGAAATTGCCAACCAAATACTAGTGTTGAGGAACGAGTTCAAATTTGGAAGAATAAGAAAAAACAAAAGCCTGCGTTTTTGGTTGACCTCAATGCGTCTCCCCATGACGGGGAGCTTTCATGTAGGGGTGTTAAAAAGGTTATGGGACTTCCGGCACTGAGAAAGACAACATTTATGAATGAAGAGGCTATCACTCATATTCCTGCAGTGGATTGGAACATCGCGACATTGAACAACAGGACAAAGGCTAAGGGTGTATTGAAAATAAAGACACCTGAGATTAGCTCATTACCAAAGCAAGTTCTTCTATCATTGCCTACAGAGTCTTTGGAACCATTTAGGCGGCCACCAAAAGGTGTACTTAAGATAAAGCCTAAAGTCTATCACACTAGTGTTGCAGAAAGACCAAGGACAACTGCAGTTTCTCCTGATCAGGGTTTACCTAGCATATTTGGTGTTCACGCATCTAAACTCTCTCCTTCACATTCTGCTTCCCAGTGGCAAGAGGAGAACCTAACTAAGAAGTTAAACTATGTGCATAAGTTGGTCAGAGCAGGAAGTGTTTATAGAGAATCTCCAACACATGAGCTTACTAAAGATCAACAAAGTGAGGTTACTGTAAATATTGGTTCTAGACTATTTGATAATGCACAAATTTCCCTGAGAAAGATGAAACCGGTAAAAGACATGAAAATGCCCTCTGATGACTCTAGTGATTTTAGAGAGTGCTTTGATGGTCAGCTAAAGGGTGATCCCTGGCGAACCTCTTCTGGCTTACACCAATCAGCTCCTGATACTAACCAAAGGAAGCTAATGCTATTTCATACCAATGTGTCCGAAGCAGTATCAAGGAACTTGATTATTGCAGATGATTATAAGATTTTTCCAACAAATCCTGACCATTCAGAGCATCAGTATAGGGATAAAAAGGATGGTGAGGGTGTTGAAAAAAGCCACATGTTTCCCATAACATACAAGAGAAAAAAACCACATACGAAGCTTAGTGCTCTTCAGAACCAAAAAAAGCCATCCATGGTAGCTAGCATGGAACCTGCAGTTCCAGTTGGAGCCAATTTTAATCAAATGGAGAAAACTAAGGCTATAAAAATAAGAGTGAAGGGCTGGAACGAGTTCAACTCTAAGTACAAACAAGGGATGCTGGATGGTCAGCATCATGGTTCTCCTTCCACCTAGGTGACACTTTTGTGATGATAATGGTGCATATTTGATGGTTCACAGGTATTTTATGCTTCCAGTGGATCATTTAAGTGGCCATAAGGGATGCCTGATAAGTTACACCATGAAAACTTCTCAGGCACTGCTTTGATGGTTTCCATGTGTACAAATGTGGTGGAAAGAAAGTTTTGTGTGCAATTAAACCTGGAATTTAGTCTTTCGATTATAGCTGGTGGTCAGATCTAATATTGTTATATGATTATATACGTATACAAATACCTAGTAAATTCATCCATTTGTCTTAAATGATCTGTATTTTTTGTTCTATTTTATTATCCTGGATTAGATAGTAGCGGGGACTGATTTTTGCCTTTCTCTTGCTCAATTCTTACTTGTTTGACAAGCTGGTCCCGCGAAAGACATAATCTGTTGTACATCTAAATCAAAGCTTCATGATTTTACTGGTGATCATCTTATATTCAACACTTCAATGTCGAGGATCTTAACTAACTTTTAAATTTTCCTATGTCATTAATATTTATAAATCTAATAAACTAAATTGACAATTTGAGATGCAGTATATCATTCAGGTGGGATCTTGCATTATGCTGCTCCTGTAAGTACATATATGTGAATCTTTTGCTAGATTTATTGGCACTTAATTTTGTGCTCAATATTGAAGTCAAGAAAGGGGACAATTTATAATTACGATACAATTTTATTAGTTTATTTTTGTAGGCAATTTTGAATTATATGCTTAATTCAATTCAGTTGATTCATTCTTCATACCATCATATTTACTATCCAAGAAGTTTAAGCAGTTCAACTAGCCTCCATCTAATTCTACTGCCCTTTTTAATGCCTTTCTTTATAGTACTGTGACTTTCAAATTTTTGTGGGTGCATTTCCTCTTTATGATCTGTTTTGTAGCTAAAATACGTTAGTGGAAATGAACTCTATCAAAAATCTGGGGCAAAATTGATGAAAGCTTGGTAGTATGTGTTAATTGGGAATGTAATTTGTGTGTATTGATTATAGTTTTTGTTTCCTTGTTCATTTCAAATGTAAAAGAACATGGTTATGATTTTGACTCCTGTATGAATGGGATATATGTTATCCAGTATTTTAATGATTTATCATATCTAACTAATTACTGAATGATTTCAATTACAATGTCCATTGCTAATTATTGCACCTTGCTATTTCCTCATTGTGTTGTTGTTATTATGCGCTTTACCTGTCTATATTATGTTGTTTTCCTTCTTGCTACGCTGCATGTTCTTAGTTACATTGCTTTTCGTTTATACTTTCTGCTACCTTTATTTCTTGTTGGATTATTGTTACCCCCTTATGCCTTATGCTGTTTCAACACGGCTACATACATACTTTTCCTGCTATTTTCATTGTACCGGCCTTCTGTTTCATGCCTCTGATATGCTGTCAACTTTGTTGATTTCATACTAATTTCTTTAATTATTTTGTGCCGCTTTGCTTTTCTTCTACGCTACTGTTGCAAAATTCATGATAGAACACTCGCTATTTGCTATAGATACTGTGATTGAGTCCTTTTGCCGTTTGATGTTTTGAAAAAAAGTTCTTATTTTTGTCCAAATCCTTGAGCAAATTTGGAAGTGGAATTTATGGAAGATTTTTTTTGCCAGTGGAATTCAAAGGGGTAGATTGTAACTTGTTATTTTTTTAGTAAATTTCTATAGATCTGTTTAGTTTTTATTTTGAGTTATTTGAAACTAATAAATAAGAAATTATGGGAAAATATTTTTATTCATTATGAAAAGTATTGTTATCACAATATTATTGTATTGGCAAGCTCATTGGCATCTTTAATTCTTATATAAACCATTCCATCCCTATCAACTCACAAATCTCATTAATCTCATTGGCCATGGCCCTATATTTTGATAACGCCCCTTTTTACAATCATCTTTTGCTACTCCAGGCAATAAAATTTACCCATACATACGGGCAATTCTTGTATGTTGACCTCTTATGCATTTAAAGCATGCACCGTAAGCATCAATTTAGGCTTCAATCTCTCTTTGCATTGTTTTTTTTTTTTTGAAAGAAGATGCCCTTCTTGAGACAATCTTTTAAATATTGTTGAATTCGATAGGTAGCCTGTAGGTGTTCTTTCTTGGGAGAGTGGATAAATTGACTCACTAAGCTCATGACAAAGGCTATATTTGGTTGGGTGTGATGTGAGTTGATTAATTTTCTTACTAACGGCCTCATTGCCTTTTTTGAATTTTGTCTTAGGATCTATTTGTGTATCCACAAGTCTACACCCACTCATCTTGATCTCATTGTGAAAATCTAAGATGTATTTTGCTTGGTTATTGTTGCGTCCTGGAATGTTTGCGGCGATAGAGAAATACAAAATTTAACGTTCTAGTTTTATATGAAGTTCCAACAGATGAATAGATAAACAATTGGGGGGTAGCGTTCATAAGAGACACCAGAGTTTTTACGTGGAAACCCCTAAAATGAGGGAAAAACTACGGGGTATTGCCTAGTTTGAATGACTCCTCTAGTATTTGCATTTGATTACAAATGAGGCCCTTCCTTGGGGAAGGCCTTGGCTCGATGTAGAAATATACATCATATAGAGTGCATTACATGGTGGGAGTTAGAAGAATCAATGTTGATATGTTAGTTTGGTCAGCAGGACCATAGTCAACGAGCGATGTAGGTCGGAAGGACCATAGTTGAACGACAGTGGTTGGAAGGACCGTAGTCGGGCAATGTGGGTTGGAAAGATCATAGTTGGCTAACGACTGAGGTCAGAAAGACCGTAGTCGGGTGACGCCGGTCGGGGAGACTGTAGTCTGGAGATGTTAGTTGACGGGCTACGAATGTTAGCGAGACTTTAGTCGGCAAACGACAGAGGTCGAAAAGACTATAGTTGGCATGCGTCAATGGTCAGTAAGACCATAGTTGGGCGACGGAGGTTAGAAAGACCTTAGTCGGGTGATGGTGGTCAGAAGGACCGTAGTTGGGCGACGGAGGTTGAAAAGACCATAGTGAGGGGATAGGGATCGGAAAGACTGTAGTTAGGAGACGGAGGTCGGAAGGACCACAGTCGACGGGCGACGATGGTCTGAAAAGCCGTTGTCAGGCGACGAAGGTCGGAAGGATTGTAGTCGGCGGGTAATTGTGGTCAGAAAGATCGTTGTCGGTGGGCGGCGGTGGTTAGAAAGACTGTTGTTTAGCGACGGAGGTCAGAAGGACTGTAGTCGGCGGTCGACAGTGGCCAGAAAGATCGTAGTTGAGTGACGGAGGTCGGGGAGACCTTAGTCTGGAGATGGTAGTTAAAGAGACAATAGTCGACGGACAATGGAGGCCGGAGAGATCGTAGTCGGCAGGCGACGAAGGTCGGAAGGACTGTAGTCGATGGACGACGATGGTTAGAAAGGCCGTTGTCAGGTAATGAAGGTTGGAAGAGCTGTAGTAGCCTAGTAGGCAGGCGACTGTGGTCAGGAAGACCGTTGTCGGCAGACGACGGTGGTTAGCACGACCCTTGTCCGACGGTGGTTAAAAAGATCATAGTCAGGTGACGGAGGTCGGAAAGACCATAGTTGGATGAAGGTGGTTGGTAGGATCATAATTGGCGGGTGACAGAGGTTAAAAAGATCGTAGTCGGCGACGGTGGCAGGAGGAAATTCGGGACAATCGGTGGCCGGGTGTAAGTACGGCTACAATTGGTGGTTGAGCGGAAGTCCGGAGACAGTCGTTGGCCAGACGGTGGTTGAGGAGGAACTTGGTGGAAAGAGAGATCTTAGATTCCTTTTCCTCTCCTCTCTTCTTTCCCTTCTTCTCCTCCTTCCTCCTTGCTTCCTCCCCCTTCATGTGAAGAATGAAGGGCTATCTATAGTTTTTGGGGAATTTATGACTGGTAGATAGGGAGAAGATTAATGGAAAGTTGGGAGTGTTTTGAATGGATGGCCGATATTGACTCGCTTGATTGTGGATCATTTATTGAGTATTTGAGTGTCTTAATGATATCAGAATTTGGCGATCTTGGGCTTGTTGGATTCGTCTTGTCAAGCCACTCGATTCTACTATAAACACTTCATATTTGAAAATCGTTTGGTTATCCAATTTATGGTTTGAACCTTTCAAATGGGCTTCGGGTTTTCAATTTGGACCCATTTGGGCTCGAATTTGTTCTCAATGTCGAAGGCCACATTTTTCGAGACGTTTAGCTCGAATATAAGTTTGCTGAAATCGGAGTTCTGATGGTCCCGTATTTAATTTTGGAAGTTTCCAACTCAAATTTGCCTCGAGATTCGTGCCTGATCATGATTAATTTTTGATGATATATCAGTTATCATATGCCCTTTCTTGATCTTGCAACCTTCATTCTAGGAAAATACTTAATATCTCCTAGGCTTTTGATCTCAATGTCGAAGGCCACAATTTTCCTGACTCAATTCTTCTCAGCCACATCATTGCTTATTAATATAATATCATATGCATGAACTATCTAAATAGTTACGTTATGTTCTTCTTAGTGCTTTATGAACATAATGTGATCAATTTGGGCTTGATTGTAGCCTTGGTTGTTCACAGCTCAAGTGAATTTCTTAAATCACGCACATGACGATGTTATTTGAGACAATAAAGAGTTTTTACACACTTACAAGCCAAAATTTTCTCTGAATCTTGGAGGCGAATTCATAAAACTATATTCCTATGTATCTCTATTGAGAAAGGCACACTTGACATCATGTTACTGGAAGACCAATCAAAATAAATGAATGTCTCAAATCATGCACTTGAATATTATTTGAGACTATAAAGATTTTCTTTTTAGCCAACACACTTCTGATCCGAGCCAAAATTTTCTCTGAGACTCGGAAGCGGATCTGTACAACTTTCTTCTTCCAGGTCTCTATTGAGGAAGACACTCTTGATCATGTTGTTGCAAAGGCCAATCAAGATTAATTGCAATTTAAAATAAGATTCTAATTGAGTTAAGTTTTGCCATTATTGCAAATGTCTATGTGTAATCAATGCCATAAAGTTGTAAATCCATTGGTCACCAAACAAGCCTTGCATCTCTTAAGAGAGTTCCATTAGAGTTGTATTCATGGTGGACACCCATTTACACCCAATTATTATTTTTCCATTTGGTAGATTTATCACTTCTCGAGTCTTATTCTTCTTAAGTTGATCTGGAGATGAAGTTCTCAATGGTGTAGGGACTAGTCGAGGTCATGGGGAAGTGAGAATGGGACTCATAAGAAGTCTTTGATGATGTCGAGACGATTCTGAGCTAGGAACACTGTTGCTGAGAGATTTTAGGATTCATGGAGAGCCCGAGGCGTCATGGGAAATTCTTTAGTGCTACCTGCGGAGGGCTAGAGAGTCGGGAAGTTTAGCTCAAGAGCCAAAGAGCTAAGGAGGCTGAGAGCCAGATATCTTGAGAAGACTCATGGAGATCAAGAGATGAGCCGGCCGGCTTT